ATCTAAAGTTGGGGCGCCTAGGTGGCTCAGTCACTTAAGCATCTGAGTCTTGATCTCAGCTCTGGTCTTGATCTCAGGGTCCTGAGTTCAAGCCCCACGTTGGGCTCCACACCCAGAGTGGAGCCTACTTAAAAAAAAAGTCTATCAAATGTATACTAAAAGTATAAAAGTTGTTTAATTTGGATTATCTTTTTTTAAAAAATATTTATTTATTTGACAGAGACACAGCGAGAGAGGGAACACAAGCAGGGGGAGTGAGAGAGGGAGAAGCAGGCTTCCCGCTGAGCAGGGAGCCCGATGCAGGGTTTGATCCCAGCACCCTGAGATCATGACCTGAGCCAAAGGCAGACGCTTAACGACTGAGCCACCCAGACGCCCCTGTTTGGATTATCTTTTAAAAGGGTTGTTGGAGGGGTGCCTGGGTCAACTCAGGTCATGATCCCAGCATCTTGGGATCTAGCCCTGTGTCTGGCTCCCAGCTCAGCAGGGGGTCTGCTTCTCCCTCTGCCTCTGCCCCTCCCTCTGTTCATGTTCTCTCTCTCTCAAATAAATAAAATATTAAAAAATAAATAAATAAAAGGGTTGTTGGATTCTTAGGCCAGCCTTTGATAAACCTCTTTTATCTATAATATAGCCTAACTGTGCAGCCTAAATTGTCTAGAATTTATATTCAAAATATATTTAAAAAATACACATTGTTCTCTTTCTTTAGTCGTCCTAGGGATGGAAAACCTTCTGAGGATTTGGGGGGATGTAGGTAATAGCGGCAGCTTTCCAAAAGGAGATCTAGGAAAGCATGTGTGTGTGTGCATGCATGTGTGGTGTCCAGCTCACATATACATATATGCACAAAAGTTCATTTGAACAAGGGAGGAGTTATAACAAAGTCTTACCAAGAAATAAAATTGCACGAGACACTGAGTAACTAAACCTACACTAGTTGTTTTGAGCGCTTTGAAAATGGATGGTACATACTGTGGCCTTCAAAGCACTTGTCTTATTTTACAGAATTGAAGCTCAAACTGTGGAATGCTATCTAGGGAGGAAAAGCATATTTGGAATAACATATTTAGAGAAGTATTTGAGGACTGTTTTAATGTGGACAATGTCTCTGATACAGCATAAATTTTATATGAGAAATGAAAATGATGGTACTTTCGAATAGATCAACCGAAGGTTAACTGAGAAACATGTAGAATTGTTTTGGGTTAGAAGTGAATACGAGAAGCGACTTGGCCTTTAGGTTTTTTTTTTTTTTTTTTAAGATTTTATTTATTTGAGAGAGAGAATGAGATAGAGAGAGCATGAGAAGGGGGAGGGTCAGAGGGAGAAGCAGACTCCCTGCCAAACAGGGAGCCTGATGTGGGACTCGATCCTGGGACTCCAGTATCATGACCTGAGCCGAAGGCAGTCGCTTGACCAACTGAGCCACCCAGGCACCCGCCTTTAGGTTTTTTGGAAAAGACTTAGATTTGGTTGGCCTTTGGTTTCTCTAAAGAGGTAGTAGTGAAAAGCAGTGGTTGAGATCCTGTTCTTGTACATATTTAATGTTGAAAATAGCAAGAGCCCCCAGCAGGATGAATTTGGGGTGTAGATGAGTATTTAACACAAGGCCATAAGGAGAGAGGGTTAAAATTAAATAATTTGCGTTGTATAATTATCTGTTTTCATATCTGAAGTCTCACTGAAAGGTATTAGATGCATTTTGAGAGGTACAGATAATTTGTGTATTTCATGTTTTTGATTTTCAGAACGCTCAGGGTTAAGCTAACACTTTTGACATGGGTACAAATTAACTGAATTTTAAGTAGGACTGTGAGAGGTTATGGCAGTGATGAGACAGATATTACAAAACAATTTTAGTCACCGATAAGGTGAATTTGCTGCACTGTTATCTATAGCATTAAAATATAGACATTCCAATCATTTTTCCATTTTAAATATCTGCTTTAATTAAGCCAGTTTTGGTAGTACACTACTTAAAGTGAAATAGGTAGACCTTTCCTATGTCCTGGCTAATCCAGATTGAATGTGAAGATAGGGCTGTCTCAGGACTCCGTATTCAAAATGTAGTTTGAAATCTGATTTACTCAGCTTCTCTGTTGGCCATTCATTCACTCTGCGGATTCTGAGATCACCAGCTAAAGCCTTGATTTTCACATTTCCACAGAAAATTTTATTTTATATTTTGAAAGAAAGTGAGGAAAATTATTACATTTTGCTTTGGTAAGGCATATGTTCTAATTTAAATCTTTCTGGGAAAACTTAGTTCTTAATACTCGATTTTTGTCTTATGACACTATATCAACATATATGTGTGTTGAATTGTGAGGTTAGGGCAGGTTGTGTAACATCAGTATGTCATTGTGAGTACAAAATTTCCTTGACTGGTGAAAGTAACACATCTAAAATTCCATGAAATTGTGAATTTTGAGCAGAACTGTTTGGCCTACACATATTTTCATTCAGGTGAGATCAGTTCCTGGCAAATTCGTATGAATCCCTCAGAGCTGAGTTTCTCTATAGGAGGGCTTTGTTAAAGCCCATCACAGACCCGTTGAGATGCTCCCTCCTCTCAGTGCCTTGTGTGTCCAGTTAGGATGTCTACTGCATGCATTCTAATCTTTGTTCAGCCTGTCTCCTTCAGTGAATTGCTATTTCTCCAGGATAGGCTGTTCATTTTCCTCCAGTGCCTGGCACGCTGCACATACTAGACCTGAAGGAAGGAGGGCAAAGACTGCATGCAGCCTTGGGCTAGGGTATCAGCGGGAGGAAAGACTGCCAGTTCTTGTAGCTTCCCCAGCTTGGGTTTGGGGTCTGTGCTCCTGGCTCACCTCTCACCTCCCATTTCATGCCTTCGTTGCTTACCTTCTAACTACTGCTCTCACCTCTGTGATGAGGCTTTCCTTCCCAAACCCAGCACTTCCTTTTAGTCATCGAGTATAGAAAAGCTTTTAGCCCTTACCTCTTAGGCACCTGGCTTGCATTTGGCATGCCTAGTTTGTTGCGACCCATGAGTTCCTTCTTTTCCATGACCCCAGACTCTAGAATCTCTATTTTTCTGACCGTCCTTTTGGCTTCTCTGTGGCCTCCTCCTTTCCCTTCTCCCTAAAATGGTAATATTCTCTACAATTTTGTCCTCTACCCATTGTTCTTTTTTGATGTATTCTTCCTGGATAAAGTTCTTGAGTTTTTATATGCTTCCTGTTGATTAAATCATGGAGTATTTGTTGAACATTTTATTATATGCCAGGTGTACTATTTGACTTATGTCCTGGAGATGCAGTAGTGAGTAAAAAAGAAAAATCGCCACCCTTCAGGGAGCATATACCCTCTATGTGCTGACTTTTCCCTATTTATCATTCTAGGTCAGCCCTTACTCCCCAAACATATTGGGTCCCTTCCTTCTAGATGTTCTCAGCTGGATTTCCTATAGGAACCTCAGATTTCCTATGTAGGACACTGAAGGCTCCCTCTGGCACATGGGAGAGAGGGTCGAACTGCTTCTACTTCTGCATATCTGTCTCAGTTGGTCTCTTACCATCTATTGAGCCACCACTGACTCCTGTTTTCTTCCATCGCTCAGTCTCCAAGTTGTGTTGCGTTTCCACCATTACTTGAATCTGCGCTTGCTCTCTCCCACCATGCCACCAGTTCAGGACCTCAGCTTACCTGCTGGCTGCAGCAACCGCCCTGGCTCCAGGCAGCAGCTCGAGAGCAGGCTTTCCAGAAGCTGGATCCTACTACAGCGCTCTCTGTCAAAAGCACCCAGTGGTTCACCCCAAGATGCAACCTGAAGCCTTTAAGAGGACGTGCAGGGCTCACACACATACTGGCTTCTGCCTGCTTCAGCTGCTTCTCTGCAAATTCTTCCTTCATTTGGGTCTGAACTCCGTATGTCTCCTCATACACATCAGGCAGTTCACCTCCCTTGAGCCTCTGCTTTCTGCTCTGTGGTACTCTGTGCCCTGTCCCTTCCCAGCTCGAGCCTGGCGCTTTCTCATTTATTCTGCTAATCTTTGAGCCTTAGAGTCTGGCATACAGTGTAGATCAATATATGGTTTTGGAAGGAAGGGAGGAAGGAGGGAGGGATCTGTTGGATGAATGCTGCAGGCTTTTGTAGCACCGTGGGGAGGGACTTCCCCCACCACTGCTTTGCTCCTTTGAAGCAAGCAGGGCAAGAAAGCCCCAGCAGAGGCTCTAGTTCTGGCTCTCCTGGATGGCCTTGGCCCTGAGGCCCATGGGCTGACTCACTAAATCCAAAATAAAAGTCAGAGTTTAGTTTTGAACTGGTTATGTTTGGTAAGATACTGACATAGGGAAGGTGGCTTGTGACTCATAGTCGGGGTGCCTAGTCATGTGCACTAGTGATCTTTGAAAATTTTTACCCTAGACATTCTGTATTATCTAAAATCTCCCCTTTCACTTTCTAATGAGCACTCAGATGCATTAATGTTTGATCAGAAGTTGCAGACTCAGGTCCAAATTAAAGTAGTTGTTCTAAGAATACTTTGAAGTCAAAAAGCATTGCTAACCATTCAGTATACTTTGTCTTTATGACTAGTAAGCTAAAAGGAGCTGGGTGAGATTAACTGTCATGCTCATTTCCTATATGTATAGTAGAATTTTAGATGCAGATGTTTTCTCTCTGCAAACTCTTTCCTTCTCTTGTTTACACTGGATCCCTTGTAATTGTTAAAACCTTCCTAAAAGTAAACAATAAATGTCTTGTAGCCATCTAGGCTTTTTTCCTAAACATCCTTCTGGGTTTTTATTTGCCAGCTTATTGTTTGTTTTTTTTTTTTTTAATTAAATAATTGACTTGCAACATACTAGTTTTAGGTGTTACAACATAATGATTTGATATTTGTATTATTATGTATTTTTAGTATTGTCAAAAGTAAGGATAATTGTGTTTTTAATGTATATGTTAGTGTAATAAAATTTCTGCCTTTGTAATAATTAATGACTTAATCTGTGTCTTGTTTATTTCTTCCCAGGGCAGCCCAATGGATCCTATGGTGATGAAGAGACCTCAGTTGTATGGGATGGGCAGTAACCCTCATTCTCAGCCTCAGCAGAGCAGCCCTTACCCAGGAGGCTCCTACGGCCCCCCAGGCCCACAGCGGTATCCAATCAGCATCCAGGGTCGGACCCCAGGGGCCATGGGAGGAATGCAGTACCCACAGCAGCAGGTTTGTGCTGGTTTTAACCCCACCCCCCTTCAAATTGGTGACAAAGTTTTGTCTTTGTTGCTTACTGTCTACCTAAGATTGGTACTGAGAGAATTAGGGGGAATTTCACTGATTTTCTTTTTTCTTTTACTTTTCATAGTTTCTTCAGGTAACCACATGTGCAGTTTCCTTTTCTTTCAAAGAAGGAAAAGTGATGGGGCACCTGGGTGGCTCAGTCGGTTAAGCCGCCAACTCTTCCATCTCGGCTCAGGTCTTGATCTCAGGATTGTGACTTCTGCCCAAGTCGGGCTCCATGCTGGGCATGGAGCTTGCTTAAAAAAAGAGCGGGGTTGGGGTGGGGGGATGCTTGGGTAGCTCAGTTGGTTAAGCATTGGACTCTTGATTTCTGCTCAGGTCGTGATCTCAGGGTCATGCGATGGAGCCCTGCCTGGGGTCCCAGCGCGGAGCCTGCTTAAGATTCTCTTTCTCTCCGTCCCTCTGTCGTCCCCTGCCCACCCTCGCGTGTGTCAGCACACGCACTTTCTCTTAAAAAAAAAAAAAGGAAAAGTGAGCGTCCTAGAAAAAAGTGGACGAAAATACCTGTTTGGTAGAGGGCTGTTACTGTGTTATTGGCTGTATTTAAAAGATAGGCACTGTTATCATTTTGCACCAAGTTATATAGATCTAAACCCCTGAAGTGAACTTGGCTTTCTAACATTTCTGATGTCAGACTGGCAGATTTTGAACTGTGATAGACTTCGTAAGGTGAAGTTTTAATTATTTAAAAAATAAATAACAATGAAAATGGCATTGACTTTGAGAGAAGTTTTTTATTCTCCCAAAAAGTTATTTTGCATTTATTTCTTAGCATATTAATTTCATATAAGAGGATTTGGTATATATCTGTTTTCTTAGATTTGGATGGGTTTTGTGTTTTTACTTAAAACACAAGAAGACTTCTCTTCCTTTTAAAAACCCAGTATTTTTCTCCTTTTTCTCTAGAATCAAATAGTTGGAGTTGCCTTAAATGACCACCTACTTTCTAGCTGTAGTAAACCTGGTCTCTTGGATACTGGAGAGTAGATCCTTGTTATGTTGGCCTGAGGAAGCATGAAATTAGGAAAAGACTAAATTAGATTCAGACTCGTTAGGGTGTTTAGTCACTAGAAACACCAGAAAGCCTTATTTATAAGTTCCCACACCATGTCTTTAACCCTGGGGGTGCATTAGGCTGATGCTGTATACATTTTACTGCCTCCTCGATAGGTTCTTCCATAACATTGCCAGTAACCCGTTCCAGGGTTTCATATACTTCCTCTCTGGAAATTCTTCCCTATGTTTGACCAAAAATCATCTGTGGGGAAAAAAACCATTGGGTCCGACTTTTGTTCTCTCTAAAGTGGATGTGGAGAATGGTACACTCTTACGTGCTCCAGAGCTGTGTTGATGAAGTTGCATCTGAGCCTTTTCTTTTATAGACTGAATATTGTTTTTTCTCTTTATCTTTTGTCCCTCCTTGGGTGATATTTTTATTTTAAGGTGGTTATAGGGAAAGATCGAAGTAGCTCAGCCTTTGAGTCCTAGCTGTTGGTTCCCTAAACAGGCTTTGTTACTGTCAATAGTTCTTACTCTCCTTTATTAAATTGGCTGCCCAGAATTCTCTCAGTCACTTGCACACTTAATTGCTCTGTTAATTTTTTTCAACATGATTCCTTTCTTCCAGCAATATTTTGCTGCCTAGAGTAAAGCATCTTTAGCTGAGGTTACTAATTGTGAGGGGGAAATAATTTGTAGATGATTGAAAAGTAAGATGTGATTCTCTCTTCCTTTTTCTAGTTTTAATCTAATTTGCCCTTAGTTGAGGGGAAGAAGGCCCAGGCAGCTAGCTGCCAAAATCCTAATTTTCCTCTTTAGCTGATTTCCTTTGGGGCCTGATGGTTCTGTATGATAACCCTGGCCACAGGAAGAGAGTAGAGGCAGCAGGGAAGAAGTAGCAGGACTAGTGGAAAGAAGTAGATGCTAATCACTCCTTGTTTTTCTGCATCTTCTTTTTTTCCACTATATTTTCCTGATGTTAGATTTGAAAGTCATTTCGAAAGGTGGTATTCTTGGCAAGCTACCAGATGCTCCTTTATCTTTTTCTCTCAATGAGTTCAAGTCTTATTATAAGGTTTCCACATTGGCATAGTTTGCAATCCCAAAGTAGAAATCCCAACAAATGGAAAGAGTGTGTAAAGAATGATTTACCCAAGGGGTGCCTGGATGGTTCAGTCGGTTAAGCATCTGACTTTGGCTAAGGTTGTGATCTCAGGGTCCTGGGATTGAGCCCCAGGTCAGGCTCTATGCACCACAAGGAATCTGCTTGAGGATTCTCTCTCTTCCTCTTCCTCTGGCCCTCCCCTCACGCATGTGCACGCATGCTCTCTCTCCCTCTCAAATGAATAAATAAAATCTTAAAAAAAAAAAAAAAAAGAGAATGATTACCCAGGAATATTTTTTTCATTATTTTCTTCCCCAGATGTGTAAGGGTAAAAGTAGAGGACATACACAGATACATAGAGTAGCCTTAATTTTCTTAGGTTCTTGGTGTTTTTTAATTCCTGTGGCTCCTATATAGTTTTGAAATCCAGTAACTCTTGGATTTATTTGAAGGGACAAATTGATGAAGATAACTCACCAAGTATTTTAGCATATTTTTAATTAAGATTTTAGATTAGGTATTTTACTGCTAACCAGAAGAAATGCCTAATTCTAATTAAGGACAGATCTTTCTGATAATGAAAGGAAAATAGTGTATCTGGTAAGAAACTGAATGCCTTGGCCGTAAAATGTCAAACTTTCATATTGAGTTCATCATAATCAAGGATTCTAAATAATCTGTATTGCTTTTTCACCCTTTCATTTAGTTATAATATAGTCTTAAAATATAGTATCTTGCTTTGATAACTAAAAGGCTAAAAATAGCTGTGAATGCACTTTTGAATGTGTGTAACATTTTAAAGGGGATACAACTTTTATAATACCAAGTTCATGTGATCAGTTAGGTGTAGGCTAATTAATAGCCTTGAAATGGGAAAAAAAAATAGTTAAGGTTTTGGGTAAAGGTTATTAGAGCACATTTACTTTGTTAGGTTTAGCCTGTGCTCTTTGGTGAGGAATTCTCAGTGAATTGCTTTGTTTGTAAATTTGGGGTAATTATGAATTTGTCCACAGACAAGGTCCTGGCACAGTGATTGGCTGCTGGTCCTATCTGTTTTCTCCTAGTATTAATGTAATTGGCTGAGCATTTTTGTAATCATGGCTGCTAATGTTTCTCAGGGAAAAACTTGAAAGATAATGATGACATTGAGTTTTTATTGAGTGGGCATCACCACCTAGGCATGACTTTGCTTTGGATAGCCTCCAAAGCTTTCTGTGTTTGGTTTGTGAACCTCTAATGAGCTGAATCCAGTTCATTTAATATTGCTCATATATTTCTGCAAAGGATTAAAATGCAGGAATTCAAGTTTGTAAATTGAGTTGCCCACTTACCAGCTGAGTGGTAAGTTGTCTTTGGCTCAGGGGTCACAGTTTGATTCCTGGCTAGCATTCCACTCCTGTGATGGGAATTTTAAATGGGTATTCTGGTAGAAAGGACTGCCACGCTTATATGAAATTTAACATGGATAGTATCACTGCTTGCTTTTTGTTTCTGAGAGTCAGGAGGAACTGGCCACTGTGAGTGTTTGATTTTAGTGTTAACCTGGTGATTCTTGATTTGTATGGTGATAATTTTATTTTTGAAATATACCCATGACTAGGTCTTTGGGCATGACATGATAATAGTACATCATTTTCGTATTTATTAACTGGAACTAGATTTGTGGTCTTTCACGTGCTGATTCTCCCACCTCATCAGGCAAATACATGGCTAAACAGATTAGTTTTGCACAGTGCTCTAAAAACTAGTCTACTTGAGTTTTTATTGAGCCGAGAGGGGAAATGAATTTTCTATGCCTCTGTGGAGAATGTTCTGCCTCTAGGCTCCTGGAATTCAAACCTGGAGATGGTTAACAGAAGTATACTGGCTGATTTCATCTAATACAGAGCTACACAGAGGAAGTATTATCTTTAAGGTTACTAGAATCTGACTCTGAGTTTTTCAGATTTTTAAAAAACGTAGACACTAAGGTACCCTTTGCTGGATCAGGGATGTGGGTGAGCAAATGTTTTGTTTTACTTCTCTTGTCCTTTGTGGTCATAAATGTATATACAGGCCTGTGCCGAGTTGCTTTAAAAAAGATTTTCATATAAAAGAAATAGCACCCAAGGGAAATAGGCTACAGAAGCGAAGGTATATTTATTTGTGTCCAGCACATTTCAATTACCGCATGTAGTGTGAGATTTTTCCTGAGTTATCAAGGGTTAGTGGGTTGATATTTTAACTATCCTTACCTTGCTGCCGAAGTATGTATAATCTAATGCCTATTGGCATTATAAAGCCAGGAAAAGGTAAAGAGGGCAAAGTGAGAGATTTAAGTTTATGAGTGTTTTTAGAATGGAAAAACACGACTTTTTTAGTTTTTAAAAACACATCTGTTATTGCAAAGACCTTTACAACAATAAGAGCATGATATGACAATAAGAATCATTGTTTTGAAAGATATTCTGGCAAAATTAAATAGAAATTAGTTATTTTTGTTAAGGTGATCCATCTGAACTTATCACTTAAAAACCTAATTAAAGTTGAGGTTCTTTTGAAAAAAAGACTTTAGAAGTCAATAGGTATTCTCATTTGTGTCTTTAGTTTATCTTCTGCACTCTTTGGGTATGTCTATTTTGCTCTGTGTTTTTTGAGTAAAATATTTATTTCAGAACATAAGCATTTTATTTGGTACCATCTTAACAGCCAAAACACTTCTTCCAGTGCAAATGTTTATTTTGGCAGCAGATGTTTCTAAAAGGAGACAAACATTACAATTGTTTGGCTAAAATAAATGTTTTCTTTGGGGTTACTGAGGCAGCCAAGCAAGTTCTAGATT